TCATAGACTCACTGTGTAACCCAGTTTGCATAATATTGTATTCTATAACACTGTATCGTCGTCATTAATTATTATAGGCTTTATAAGGTCAGGATTTTAGTTTCATTGCGCATTTTTTTATAGATACGTTGCAATAAACTGCGCGGCTAATGATACGGGATGGATCACAGAAGACATGCATGAACCTGTTGTTTTGAAGCAATTTGCAATATGTTTTAATTCATTCGCACTTTTCGTTGATGGCACAAAAAACAAAAAAATGTATTTGAGGCACAAGAACACGTTCTCACGGTGTTTTTCATTGGTCGTCATTTTTCATCCCCAACCAGGGACGTAGCCAGCCCATTGACCTTTGGGCCCGGCCCTACAAACTTTTGGTTTGATCACTCTACCGCTTGTAATAAATTATGCGTTGTTGGGGTGAGGTGAGAAGCTTAAGAGCTCAAAGTGTTGATGAGGTCTGCGTGTACAATTTTCAGTACATCTGAAAATGAAAGTCAGCCAGGCCTACAACCGATGAAAAGCTGGCTACGCCCATGCCACCTTTCTCGCCTGGAGACTGCATAACGAACGAAGGCAAACCCAAGTGACAAATTAAAGACAGTTTCCACCTTTCTCTTTTCGTGCGGCAAAGGCTTCGATGATGTTATTAAAACGAGGAACCGGGAACGAGTTACGAGCACTGAGAATTGAGCTGAATGGGTCGCTTGCTTCTTACTGCATGCGAGATAAAATTTACATCTCGAGACGCTTTACATCGCACTCTACATCTTTGAAGTCTGTCGCTTTTTTGTTATAAATTACATCTTCCTCAACTGAGATCTCGAAATGACATTTTGGGGTCACACTTGAAAGTTAATTTTAAAAAGTGTGATTTAAGATCCCTTTATCGCGATTACCTCTGTAGTGCGACCACATTAAAGAAGGAGATAAACACTTTCGTGTGCCTAGACTGCGAAGCAAGCGTTTCCAATTGAGTTATTGCGTGAAAATTGGAGCGAGAGCAAAAAAAAAAAAAAATGCGGGGGGGGGGGTGGGGGTGGGGAGTTGAGAAGAGGAAACAGCGTTTCCTTCTCTCCCTTCCTTTCCCCCTTCATCCCTCTTGTTTGTTATCGCCTCAACTTTCTCGACGAACCCACTCGGAAACGCTTGCTATGCAGACTATCGTGTGCCCTCGTGTTTTTTTTCTTGCTTGCTGTTGCCATGAGAAATCCGATGTCATTCGATATATTAGTAAGATTAAGATATGATTTTGTTTCAGCTAAAGACAGCTAAAAAGGAACTTAAAAATATGAAAATCGATTAACCGATGCCGACGATTGCTGATCAAGGACCGAAATTTCTGAGGTTGAAAATGGTGACGAGGCGATGAACGGATGTCTGCCAAAAGACAAAAATATAGTGGGCTACTGTTAAAAATGAAACCTTTTGATGGAACAGAAACGACGGACGTTTCATTGCAAATCATAAACTAATTTACCAAGCAATTTATCAGGGGGTTAAAGGAACATATTTATTGTGGATATAACTTCCTGCTTGTTAAAAAAAAAAAAGGAAAAGAAGAAGGAGGCCCCATCAGGTAATAATCGAATTAATATTAAAAGGGATATTGTTTTCATCTCGTGACTGTTACTGTCACGCAATCTCTCGTCTTCGTGCGGAAGACGCATCAGTCAGAGAAACCGAAGGATGAGCCGCTTTCTTGTCTTCCTAACAGTATTGTGGATCTCAACGATTTTTACCTCTGGTAAGTAAGTCCCATTTGTCTTAGTACAGTCTTTTTACGTCTGAAACTTCATAAATTTAGACTACGTCTGTTGTTTTCCGCAATGCTCATGATTCGACTCTCGAACCTGTTGGGTCAAATACCCGAATTGTTGTCACCTTCATAATTGCCCAACCATTCATGTTATTCATTATCTCGCCTTGGAAGACACAAATACATCTCAAATAATGTTTAATTTCCTTCCGCTTGAGTATAAGCAGATTAAAAAACGGACCCCTAAATCAAATGAAGTAACCATTTTGTTTCAAACTTACGCGGTGTGTAATATGATTCAATATACGCCGGAATGCTCAAAGTCTGTTCACTTATGTTTCCCTATTTAATAAAGTTTTAAGCTAGGGGTTGGTTGTTGAATGGCTTGGCGCGCCTGTGCTTCACGGCGAGCTAACATAGAGAAAGATTAAAGCAGTGCGAGCCAAATCGATTGGTTCTGGATGAAAATCTTTAAAAAATGAGGCTTTCTCTTTATGAAGCACTAGTTTCCTATAGATTATTTCAGGTATGGATAGACTTTAATGTTTGTCTCATGTTTGCGCGCTACAAATCAAAAGTTTAACGAAGATACATATTTCCAACGCTTCTATGTCTGACTACACTGACGCAGCTATCATCATACTGCATTAAAACAACTGAACATTCAATATCACACTTTTATCATAGTACATGGGCGATAGATATATCTACCTTTCTTGGTAGTTTTAATGTCGATTTATT